CATTAGCACCTCTAGTAATATATTTACTGAGAAAAATGTTGACGTGTTCAATACTTATTTTACCCGCTGTATATAATTTATATATGATAGCTACCACCACTTTATTCATAAAGCACTTCAAAACAAGCACAGTTGCAACAAAGTGCTGTACATGAAAAATAAAAAACCCCATAAAAACACACAAAATAAAGAATAAAAACAAATAAAATCAATAAAAAAAGAATTAAAACAAAAAACAGGTTTGAGGCTGTGCCAAAAGCCAGGGGATAGAATATGTTTTTAAAAGTGGACCTTGAAGGGGCTTATTTAGTTGCAGCTAAARTTCATAGAACAGAATGACTTATCAGTCAAAATAAAGCAATGCAAATACAATTTAAGATTTCTAGAAGGAATGCATATCACACAAACCTGGAGTACAGTTAATAAAATTAATCACCTGAGCGCACAGAATAACCTCCTGAGGACTTTTTAACAAAATAGGACAGATGATAAGCAGAACGTAAACCCAAAATCAGCCTTTTAAATAAGAATTCATCAGTGACAACACACAGGTGGGTTAGGGCTCCAAGGGTGGTTATAAAACCAGTGATATACAGAAGCCAACATCTGCAAACAGAAGATGCTTTCATATAAATTCTATCTAGAATGGAGAAAAATGTAGCAGCAAAAAAATAAATAAATAAACCCAACTTTAGCTGCAACATTTTCTCAGCCGTAAAATACAGACAGCAAAGTATTTATGCTGTGATACTACTTGGGTCTTTTCTTTTTCCATGGCTTTGTGAATCTGTTGAACTTATAAAATGAAGTTTATGAAGCTCTTTTGCTCCTGTCCTCCCACAGACGGATGTGAACGCCTGTTATCTGCGCGCAGCTCGGGCTGGAAATCTAGAGAAAGCTTTGGACTACCTGAAGAACGGAGTCGATATCAATATTTGCAACCAGGTAAGAGCGTCGCACTAAACTGAGCTTACAGAATCCCTGAAAAAAGTGCTATTTATATTTATCTATTAAAAGCTGGAGACAAATATCATTCACTCTTTTTTATAGCGTTTGTTCAAAACAGAAAAGACTAGGAAGTCTCTGAAGTGGTTTATGAAGAGTGCCGGAGCTGCAACAACATAACTGTATAAAAATGGGTAACGCTTTCTTTTACGGTACCCTTATTACCATGTAATTACAAGGTAATAAAAAGTAATTAAATAGTAATTACTACCTTATTATATGTAATTATGTGGTACTAATGGTACGTTCACACCGAACGCGTTTTGAGGGGCAGGAGCGGCCGATTCACATGCAAAGTCTATGAGGACGCGCCTCTAGGGGTCGTGCGTCGCTTCACGTACGTTTTGGGCGGTGCACAAGGAAGGCGGAAGGGGCGCAGAGTGTTTTCCGCGCATGTGGTGCTGCGGAAGCCTCTGTCGCCCAAGCCGCCGCCTGAGCTGCCAACAGAGTTCAAATATCTGAACTTTTCACCGCTCGACGCGTCTCCCACTGAAAACCGAAACAGACGGACTGGAGATCTTTAACTGAAATCGACCGTGTACAGTTGGATTTTCTGGCAGGATATATCAGCACCGATGTGGATCAGCTGCTCGGGACCAAAAAAAGAAGAAAAAAGTCCATCAGCTGGCAGCTTCTGGGGTGGCGAAACTAACCGAACAAATCGCCTCTAAATCATCTGGTGAGTTAATTATCTGCTGTGCGCAACGTTCGCTTGCTTTTTAGTAAATAAATGAAAGCCGTTTTCTTTTCTTTTATCTTTATTTCACCAGCCGAGGACAGAC